CATCATCATCATCATCATCATCATCATCATCATCATCATCATCATCATCATCATCATCATCATCATCATCATCATCATCACTCAAGTTCTGCAAGGCCGGGTTTGAAAAAGACTGGCTCGCGGTGACAAATAAGCCAGAAATGGTGATCTCAGTCCCCCTTGTCTTTATTCGTGTTCTTCTTCTTCTTCTTCTTCTTCTTCTTCTTCTTCGTTTTCTTCTGCAAATAGTCTTGAGGGCTCGACTGCCGTGTGCTCCATAGCAGGGCGAAGCAGTCACGACGGATTGCGCGTTGATTAGTTCATCGTGAAAGTAGACATGCACAGCATCTACCGCACTCTCTCCTGCCCACCTGGGCACAGTGTCAAGCCATAGTCAAGAAGATCGGAGATGGGAGAGGGCGCAGTTGGACGGCGCGTCCGGACCTGCACTTAGGTTTACCACCATACCCCCCGGTCCACAGCACACACCAGAAAAAATATTTTAACCAACAGCAAAAATGGGTCAGAAGGAGGATTGCATATAGAACTAATCGCTGCGTGACTGTCTGCAATGGCTCTCTCAGGAAGGAGAAGAAGAAAAGGCTGCGTACAATTGAGTGACTTCGGACGGTGACAATTCCACCTTTGTCAAGCCAAACTTTCCGGAAATAAACACTCATTACCAAATCCAAACACAGTCGGTGAGCAGCGGTCTTACTGGCAGTGAAGCAAGGCACTCCTTTCTAGCTAGGCAACGGCGGCGGTAGTGTCAATCCCTGAGAGAATACTGCGGTAGACATTGTCGGCGTTGGAGTGTCACGTAACTCAATAAACACCAGCCAGCCCTCCCCCACCCCCAACTAGCTAGCCCACTTGCTTTAGGCATCGACCAAAACGTGAATAGAATAAACGACCACCAGCGCGTAAACAATCCCGCAGAGAAGGCGGCTTTAGCACCCGCCAACTTCAGTGTAGCAGGAGCCCGAGAGCGGAGGAAGAACACCCTGGATCACTGACTGAGGAGACAACGTTTGTGCGTCAACAGTTTCCGTGCGGCGGGCGCGGCCCCTGCCCCAACTCCCACCTCCCGAAAGCACGATAAAGAAGTCTGGCGGCCGGAAACTGGGCAGGGGAGTTTTGCGGCTTCTGTCATCGCAAAGGAAGCAGCGTGTTTGTAAGAAAAAAAAGACAGTGGCTGTAGGAGGGAGCATTTAATGTTTGAACGCCAGGACCCTGTCAACGGACAGTTTGGGATCAACCAAACTCGCCAACTAAACTGTTTTTAGTAAGCGTGTTGTCAGAAAGGTCTCCTTCTCCTTGAACGTCATATTTTACGAGCATGCAAGAGGCTCTATGAAGGTTCCCGTAGGTTGCGAAGCAAAACAAGGAGAGCCAAAGTGTCCCTGAAATTGACCTCCAAACCGCACGCTATCCCATGAACACGGTAACCCCCAGAACTACTTCAACGTCACTCGTGAATGCCACGCATAATGCCTGCGAGAACGATACAGGTAGTACCAGAACCAATAACGTCATTAACCCATTACCGCACACAGTTCTAAAGCATGCATTTCCAAGTAGACCCGGAATCGTTTGAACGCTGGAGCGTGTCCCTAGAAGGAAAATAGGGGTACTAGACATTTTTACGTGTGGGACCCTTCAGAGGAGTGACTTTGGAGTTCTTAAATATCAAAAAGGAAAAAAAAGATGTGTTTGTGCTGCCTGATTCGTTTAATTCATTCAAAACACATTGACATATACATTCCCCGCCAGACATTGTACCACATTAATAAAAGTAACTCCTCACTCCGAATACAGTTGTCACGTTTTCCTTCTTTATGGCCTCATGACGCACGCAGCCGCCAAGTAAATAATTAAACGGAGTCTACTTTCGTGTGCATCATGTTCAACTGGAGTGTCAAACATCGTCGGTTGGACCACTGTAGCCCAGGGAAATGAATATTATCAGCATATTGCTGAGGTTGCAATTTCTGAGGTCGATCACGTCAGTTCGACAGCAGCTAACGACGATGTCCCCTGTGTGCTACGCAGCCGGATGGGGACTTATGAGTGAATTAGTTCATCGGTGGATCAGATGGTCAGGCAATCATCACACTAACATCCAACGCACATGATGAGGTCGCAGCAATTAACGACGCGAACTTCGGCCATCAAACAGTTATCACGTGAAGTGCAATGAGCCCTGATGA